TAGACAAAGAACCTGAGATTGATGTTACTCTCCTTGTACGTTGTCCAATATTCGATGTGAAGTTAGAATAGTAGCAGTAAGGGAGCAGCATGTTTGCTTCCCTTCCTAAATCCCTTATGCACTTTAGGCTCCGCAAAATTTGGTGGCATATAGTCTGTTATAGTCTCAGCCAGCAGTTCTTGTAAAGTCCCTGAGCGTAGGCATCATTCGCTACATCAACTTCCTGTGAAAGCACTCGTGTATGGGCTATGACGGTTTAAGTAGCGAAACTTCTGTGTATTCTTTCAAAAACAGTTCCCTGTAGGACTGCCTTCGCCCAGCCGTAAAGGCCTGACGATAGTAAACATTTTATCTGTCAGGCTGCCTATCGTGGAGGTCAGACGAACGGGTCGGTAACCCACCAATGTCTGAGCCAATGGACCAAAATGCACGATCCTCTTGGAATACGGCACGGTCCAACGATATCAAGAAACCTTGAATGATAAGCAAAGTAATGATGTGGAAATGCTGGTAGGGGGGTCCAGAAAAATCTTTAATGAAAAAGAACATTTTAGATGCAGTACCATATGTCAGTTCTGCTTATCATATCTCGATGGTAACTGAAGACAATCTAATTGGAAATCGAACGATAAGCATGATTTATGTGCGCCCATAATTGCCACCTTATAGCAGAGACTTTACGTTCCCTTTGGTGGTCTTCTCAGACAGGAATGGTCTTAATCCTTCTCACTTTTTACAGTCAGGCGTGTATGCGTTTCTTAGGTTAATTAGAAAGACCCTACGTTTTCCAGACGGCTCTAAAGCGAACCGAAGAAATCCGAACGCAATAAGGTTCTCTGGTTGTTAGGCCGACAGCCTCTTAAGGTGAAGAAAACATGTGATTGAATCTCACCAACAGAAAAATTATCTTTAGGACTTCTTCAAAGAATTGTAAGTACGAAAATATAGACTGCCATTGAGTTGCAACAGCCTGACATTTACAACGACACACGCAGACTGAATAGGCTATACAAGTAACCGAGACAAAAACAACAGCACATATCTTAGACAGAATCCATTAGGTACCGTCTGCCACCGGTACACATTGCATTCCAGAGGCTATATAGCTGAATTTCTTATAAATTTAAAAATTCGCTGAAGAGTGAGGTGACAAGTGTCTGATCAAAGCGGAAGATGACGATTTCTAATAGCCGAACTTGACTGAACAAAGTACAAAATTGGTGTTTTAAAATGGGATACAGTTACATGCCTTATTACATAGCTATGAATTGTAGATTATTTACGGGGAGGTGCAGGCACAATTTTCAATTTCATATGACCTGCGAAAGTCTGCTCTAAATTGATTGAAGAGCGGTCTCTAAGTCCAGGTTGAAATGTGAAAATAATTCCTGCGTAGCATTTTAATCAGAGGAGGTTTGAGTGTCATTTTTAATAGGCCAAGCTCTTTAAGTTTTTGCGCACGGTTGACATCATTGAAACCAAAAAGGATGTCGCCACTTAAGATTTGATCACTTTATTCGTCTGAAGTTACAGGCAAAAGTACCAGGCTCCTGAATTGCGTGCAAAATAAGTTGGCGACTGCCATCTAATCGCCTCGTACTTCCTTCAGACCTGTTGACAATAAAACTGCCAGATAAAATAAACGATGGTGGTTGCATTTTCCCCCGTCTAGGTAATAAAAGACGACAACTGACGGCGGGCTGGAGGTAGAGGCGTGGAAAAGGCAACATAATTGGCCGACTATTGGTTCCCAGGCAGTCCGTCATAAACTACCGATGCAGGGACTGGGCCCCGAAAATGGAATAAAGTTGATTTATGCGGTTAAACACTCGTGTGCCTCCATAAAATATCTAAGAGCTAGGTGGGATGCGAACATTTATGAGAGTACTATTAGCGCCCTATTTTAGGACAGACCTATAAGGACAAATAAGCTGTATAAGTATCGGTAACAAAAAATGACAAGGTTGCAGTGATACGTTACGTAACGCGACATCATAAAACTTCCCGCCATTGAGCGAAGGGTAAACAGAAAAGTTCGGAGAAGGGATTCGTACTATGAGCATCCATGACAGACTAGAATGCTGCACAACAAAATCGAGTCGCTTAATCTTCAAATCTCATTATAGGGCATGAGGGGGAACTGAGGCCTCCGACCGGCGAAAGCAAAAAGTCTTTAGGTGTTAAGGTTAATAGTCATTTAAAACAACCAAAAATATGTATTCTTTCTAAACTTACCGAGTCTTCTACGGTGGCCAGTAAAAAACCTTGCTAATATCAGTTTACTTCCAAAATCTCAGCTTTAGACAAATCAACATTTCTAAGAAGCCCTGCCTGACTTTATCCTTCATTACTATGTTGTGTTTTCTACCGCTTAACTTTTTTCTAGCCTATATAGTTTTACGTACCGGAGGGCTTATTTATGTTCTATAAGATTATTTGCGGTTGACACCAACTCAGTAACCAACAAAAATATTAGAAAAGTAGGTACTAATTTACATCCTACGCGGAAACCATGTGTCTGACGGTTTACCTTTGAGCAATCAGTGTTTTAAAAATTAGTAGAATGCAGATGTTGAAATAGTATGTAGACATAATGACAATTATATAGATTGTTTTGCAATCAAACATCCTAAAAGAATTGGCAACTACGGGAATTATGGAAAATGGCAAGACTGTAATTGTCGAACCTTCAATATTGTTCCGTGGTACGCTGATTTTGAACTTATCGTGTGAAATTATTCAAGAAACGCGGTGACGGTCGAGGGGCAACGTGTGACTCTTTAGTCTGCATGATTGAAATGCGGGGATACAAAGAACATCACGAAAAAGCCCACGCGTCACTCCTTAAATTTCTAACAGGCGGTGGTTTCCAGTATTTATGGTTAACTTGGTACTTGATGTATGAAGCTTGGGCGATGTTCCAGACATTTCCGAGCTGACTTTGGTTGGGCACCAGATAAGGTCCTCCGCCCCCTATTACAGATAACTTTATGCAAAATGTCAGGGAAGCATATACCCACATCCTAATCCTTACGCTCAACCTTACCGGAATCTTAACTGTAATTCCTGTTACTTAACCTAACGCCACCTGTGAGATGGGGTATCTCTTTTGTGGCGTACCATTACTTCAAGTGATAATATTAATGTATTTGAAGACTCCCCTCCTCTCGTCTTGCCTGACCTTTTTCTAAGAAAGGATAGCTTGCAAAAATGATAGGCGCAGCCATACATGAAGCATGCTCAATTTGTTTCCTCCCTTTCACTGGCCCGCTCTACGTTTCGCTGATGACAGTTTAGATATCACAAGCCCTCTTTTGAACACTATCGACTTGATTTTGTATCTTTAGCCATAGTCAGCTTGCTGCAATTTGATCATCAACCGATATCAAGCCACGTATGTATGGTAGTTTGCAAAAAATAATTTTTCCTCCCCTTATTTATGTGTTAATTTGCCCCACAAAGACGCTCAAACTAACCATCACTGAGTAGGCGGTGGATTAGGTCAACCAAGAGTCCCTATTCCGCAGCGCTAAGCCGAGTTTGGACAAATAGTTTCAACTGTTCTCGTGTGAATGGAGCCATTTGCCGTCTTCGCGAATGCTGTGGCTTGGCTGCAGGTATTTCACAGGCGACAATTTATAGCACCAGAACCGAGCTTTTCGGTGCATATGAGTACACGCATTCTCGCCAAACACCGGAGTGCGAGACGGACGACCCTCTCGCATGGCGTGACGTATCAAATATCGAAATATCCGTCATCTGGGACCTGGTGGTCATGAGTTTGACGGCGACCCCAATGTGCATGCTGGTTTAGAGGACAAAAAACAGTTATCACGGTTTCTGTTAGGGGAGTGGAGAAAAAGAAAACAAGAGAGCACACATTCCTCGTCCGCAGTTGGCCGGAAAAATGCACGGTGATTCAACCACAAGCAGACATGAGTGGAAATAAGTATTATCTGCAATTAAAACACCAGCTCATTATTCGTGTTTTTACAAAACCATCTGTGTAGTACTGCTATCAGCTGAAAAAGGTATGCGTTTAAGGAAATATTGTTCAACCGGGTAAATCGTCATAGAAAACCGAGGGTCGAACGAGGTCTCTTTTCTGCTTGGTCTTAAATATTGTGTAAATCAGCAGATGTTAAAAATGATTAAATGATGTCACTGTGCGGACGATAAAATCTTTAGGAGGCCCTTCTGATTAAAAATGCGTGCAATAGCTCTGGCTACGTAGAACAGCGTTCTGGCACTTTTACATACTTATCTTTAACAGTAATTATTCGGTTGGCTTTATTTTAAGCTTTTAAAGTTTTCAAATAAAGTAATGGAGTTCACCTATCTGCTATTTCAATTAGGTGATAGTTAGCAGGATCGAAAATAGTTACAGGCATTTCTTAACACCAGATGTAGGTGCGAAGCTAACCGTAAAATGAAGGGGAAGAAGACGACTCGATCGCTGGGACACTATTTTATTCGCCTGACGTTTCGAGATCCGTCGCGGATTCATCATCAGAGACATAATCTGAGAACAGTAGCAGACCCGCATCTGGCTCCAACCTTTATCGTAATCCTTGCAATATTCCTCATCTGATGGTACGGGAGAGAGTTGCCTGTGGTCCTTACAAGTCGCTGCACGCAAGTTCACGGAACCTCTTTAAGAACAAAGGCATTCAGACCAGAAGTTTAACGGCAGATTCTATTTGGTACGCAGAATGCAAGTAATTATTGAGAGGTTACGGCGTCATGTTAACCTTTTGCGTAGTTTATGAATCTATATTTTCAAAATCCTGCAAATGTGATGCGCCGTCGGTAACGAAGTTATCAGAGGCAGTGGTGGAGCAGAAATAAATGTATCCTCCTGGGAGGATGCAGGCCACAATTTCTCTGTAAAATATTCTCAATTATTGCGTTTCAACAATGCGTACTGCGTGTAAGCAGAGGCATCTAACATTAACCCACACACTGCTATGCCAAAGGTAACGGGCTCGTTTGGTTACCATATGTTGCTCTTCGCACTCTTCCAGATGTACGACATTCCATGTCAAGCCTCGTGCTACGCCACGGTAGCTATCTGTGGTCGAAAGGCCTCTTCTCTCGGATACGGCAGAGGCCCCAGGGAAGGCACGTTACCCTCTGGTGACTACGGCCTCTGGAACAATCCTCCTAGTGGCAGTAGTCAAAGTGTCTGGCCTTGGCGACCTCTACCTTCGGCCAGCACT